ACCCCATCGTCCACACTCCTTCCCCTCCGCCCCCCCTCCTTCCTGCTTCACAGGTTAGGTTGCGTACCTTACAATCGCCCTCTTTTCCCGCCCGATTACCTTACCTTGCACGTTCCGTGGATAACAACACACACCAAATACTTGTTGTCAACGTCCAAAGGCCCGTCTTTGAATTATTCCATCGCAGCCTTCTCGCGCCCGTCTTTTAATTGTCATGATGAATTCTTAGGGAAAACCACCCAAAACTTCCCCTCCGAACTCTATTCCCACCAAGAGAGTTTGGGCCGTGTCAGCCCAATTCTGCCGAATCCCTCTCCTTGGCACCCTCAGAGAGCTCGCTCGACTGCATCCCTCCAGTCAATTCCCTCTGCGGGCCTTGGTCCTTGGTCCTTGGTCTGCAATCTGCACTCTGCACTCTGCACTCTGCATTTGCCAGACAGACTCTGAGCCAGTCCACCCACACTACTTCCATTTCTACTACCTATTCGTACTGGACGGATACTCAGCCAGCCATATCTTTACCTGACCTCTCACGTAAGGTACCTTACCCTTCCCATCCTCGTCCTCACCTCACCCAACCGCGACATTACCGGCGCCGCATCAGACACGAGTAACGCAGCCTACACACCCGGTCGACCCTTCGACACCCACTGCCAACCTTACCTCACTCACCTCCCTTGGCTTGCTCTGCCTGCGAGTCTGCGCTCGCTCCTGCAACTTGCCTTTCAACCTTAGTACGCCCAGTCCAGCCTGGCCCCATTCGCCCGCTTAACGCGTCCAGTCGAAACCACCGACGACATCAGCTAAAGCGCTCGGCCAGCCCTTTCCCCCTTCCAACTTTCAACCTCCACCATCCAACCGTCCGTTTGGCAACTCATCCCGATTCCGACCGTCTGCATCATTTCCTCTTTCGAGTCAACATCGCTTCTCCGCCCGCCATGGACTCCCAGTGGCAGCAGGGCTACGCCGATTCGGCCGGCTCTGCGAGGAGATACAATGGCAGCGGCGCTCAGATGCCTCGTGGGGAGTACAATGGTCAACCCGGTCCGCAAGGCCAGCCTTCTGCCGGCTACAGGCACGACCAGTATCAAAGCCCTGGCGGCATATCCTCTCACGCTGCCAGCGCCGCCGCTTCGCCCATGTCCACCCCCCAGATGCGCGACAACAACGGCGACATCCCCATGCACGACGTTCAGGACTCGTACGCCGGCATGAAATACCCCATGAGACCCCATCACCAATCTCACCTCTCGGGCAGCCGCTCATCCACTCTCTACTCTCCTCAGGAACCCTCGGCTGCTGCCCAACGGTACTCGCCAATGGAGGCACTATCCCCCACCTCGCCTTACGCGCCAAAGTCGGCGCAAAGTCAGTTCTCTTCGCCTCCGGGCCAACGACAGTCTCCGACGAGGCAGCCCGATTACATGCCCCATAGTCCTCATTATGGTGGCCGTCAACAAGCCCCGCAGCTTCCTCCGATCGCGCCCTACGGCTCCTCCCACGACGGCTACCCGTCCGCTGTCGTTGCCAACATTGACGGCGCCTTTGCAAACGACCCCAAGTCACCACGCCGCCCCATCCCGCAGGCCATGGTCCGAGGACCTGCGCCTGAGTTCAGGCAAATCAGAGCCCCGACGGATCTTCGACCCAAGGTCAATTCTCAACCTCCGTTCCGCCGTGCGAACCCCGAAGGAGGATTCATAAGCGTAAGCCCATTTCCCTGGCCGGTCGTTCTAGATAATCGCAGCCACTAACGTTTTTCAGCCTCTCCAAGCTCTCACGGTGCATCTGCCCGCTACGTACAGGATATGCAACCCGAACTTCAAATACGAGTCATCGCGAAACCCCCGCCGAGTACTCACCAAGCCGAGCAAGGGTGTCAAGAATGATGGATACGACAACGAAGACAGCGACTATATCCTCTACGTGAACGATATTCTGGGCTCAGAGGAAGCCGGCCACAAGTATGTCCAGGCTTCGGCGGCGCTCCTTTTTTATTTATTTTTTAGCCGCCTTCAGTCAAGCACTCGAGCTGACTTGTGATTTAGGAATCGGTACCTTATTCTCGATGTTCTGGGCCAGGGTACCTTCGGCCAAGTTGTCAAATGTCAAAACCTCAAGACCCAGGAAGTTGTTGCCGTCAAGGTTATCAAAAATCGCACGGCCTACTTTAACCAGAGTATGATGGAGGTCTCTGTTCTGGACTTGGTACGGCGGCTCTATGGCTCACCACTGATAACAAAATGCTGACCATTGTCTCTTAGCTCAACACCAAGCTCGATAAGAACGACGACCACCACCTTTTGCGACTCAAAGACACCTTCATCCACCGGCAACATTTGTGCCTGGTCTTCGAGCTCCTTAGTGTCAACCTATACGAGTTGATTAAGCAGAATCAGTTCCGAGGTCTAAGCACGACTCTCGTCCGCGTTTTCGCTCAGCAACTTCTCAATGGCTTGGCCCTCTTGAACAAAGCACGGCTGATCCATTGCGATCTGAAGCCCGAGAACATCCTTCTCAAAAACCTTGAAAGCCCCATCATCAAGATCATCGATTTTGGTTCGGCATGTGACGAACGGCAGACAGTCTACACTTATATCCAGTCCAGATTTTACAGGTCTCCCGAAGTCTTGCTGGGCTTGCCGTACTCGTCGGCCATCGACATGTGGTCGCTCGGCTGTATCGTAGTGGAGCTATTCCTCGGCCTCCCCTTGTTCCCTGGATCGTCCGAGTACAACCAAGTCTCGCGCATTGTTGACATGCTCGGCAACCCTCAAAATTGGATGATCGAGATGGGCAAGCAAGCCGGTGAGTTCTTTGAGAAGAGGCAGGACGAGTTTGGACGACGAACATACCAGTTGAAGAGCATGGAGCAGTACGCTCGAGAGCACTCGACCAAGGAGCAGCCCAGCAAAAAGTACTTCCAGGCAAATACTTTGCCAGAGATCATCAAGTCGTACCCTATGCCACGCAAAAACATGAAGCAGAGCGAGATCGACAGAGGTAAGTTTCAAGTGGTTGCATCACCTTTGGTACAAATACTAACGCAACTTGTAGAAATGAATAACAGAATCGCCTTTATCGATTTCGTCCGGGGTCTTCTCAATATCAACCCGCTGGAACGTTGGTCGCCGCAACAGGCCAAGCTCCACCCATTCATCACCCAGCAGAAGTTCACCGGTCCTTTCGTGCCACCCATGAATCTGAAGTCGAGCTCTCTGAATCGGTCTCCGGCGCCAGGCACCCAGCAGCAGCAGCAAGCCGAAGCACTAAGCAAGCAGAGGGCACAAGCCGCCCAGGCGCAGGCAAACTCTGCAGCACAGGGAGCCTATGCCCAGATGGCTGCTCAATATCAGCAACCCGCACACCCTCAGCAAGCGCCCATGTACAATAACCAACAAATGTACTCTCCTAGCAACAGCCATGCAGCTCAGCCGCCGCCCTACGGAGCCCAGCAGCAAGGTGCCTATGGTCAAATGGTTATCCCTCAACAGCCGGCGCAGATGCCTCCAGGGCCTTATGGCAATGCGTCCCAGCAACCTGGCCTGTATCCCCAGCAGGGTATGCGGCCGGCACGCCAACGTGCCTCAACCATGGAGCAGCAACAAAGTGGTATTCCCGCCGCCATTCAGCGTGTGGCTAGTCACCTGGACCCAAGCCAGCCGATCCGTTTGCAACCTAGTCCTGCCTACTACCCCCCTGGTGCCGACAGCGGTATGGCAGGCATGGATAACGCAGCTAACCGGGCCGGTAGACGTGGAAGTCGTGCGCAGCAAGGAGGAGGAAGAGGAAACCGTGACTTTATTCGCAACCTTGAGGAGCGAACGCTCGAGGAAGGCTTCATGGGGAGCCAGAATCCCTGGCACTGATGGCTGGGCGACCTTTGATCACAGTGATTTGAAGTGCGCATCGAAATTTCTTCGCAACCTTGGGTCATGAGTTTACATCCCTCACAGGAGACTGTGGGAGGTGAAGTTAGGACGGCCCGGAGATCGATGCTACGGTATTCGCTTGCGCCAGGTCGACTACAGCAGTGCAACCCCTGAACGCATGATGGCAATTGGACAAAGAAGATACCCGATGGCCCTAACATGGGAGACCTGTTGCAGGGGACCATCTGAAGAAGACGAGGTTCAAAGCCAGGCTAGATCAGGACGACGACAAAACATACACAAATATGGGAGCTTTGATGGGACGCTGCATGAGAGGAAATTGGCGGACAATACTGGGTTGGTGGGGATGGCGGCCGTGACGGTGTAGGAAGGCAAAGGAAGGGCTCGACAGCCAGCAACGACATACGAGATCACGTCCTCTTCACAAACCGTTCCTAACTACTTACCTACCTACCTTTGTTTCTAAGGTTAAAAGGGTTCCGGATACAGCAGGTTGGCTTTGCAAGTTGTTTGACTAATGTGGAAGTGACAATGATGTCAAAGGGTCGAGGAGTTGCTGACCTGATCATGTGTGCCTACTCACTCAATGTTCAAGATACCAGGTTGAAACTCCACGCTTGTATATCTCCTAGCAACTCCCAGCCTGAGGAAGGGGCTGGTGATGTGGTCTCTGAGTAAGATGCTGCAGGGGTACTTGCGCATTATGGGAAGTACGGGCACAGTGATCCTATCTCTATCCATGTACTCCTCGTTGGGTGCTCTCATTGCATGGGACCTTCTATCTTCACTTGTCCTCCGTGTTCTACTTTGACGGGGAAGTTGCTGACCAGGTATCACTCTCGCCTTCCATGAAGCTGAGGAAAGGATTGAGATCAGTTCCTACTTGTTGATCGACATCTTTGTATTCGCATTCTGCTCCTCAACCACCTCCATCATTGCCCACACAGCTTTGGCACCCATTGCTAAGACAACAACCTTTGATTCTTTGGATTTCTCTGTTGCTTTTACGATCTAGCATCTACCCACAACGGCGCCACTCATCAGCCCCCGAGCTGCTGTTACCTCAAGCATCCCCAAATTTCTTGGTCGACGTCCCTTACGATAGTCATGGCGCATCCTCTCTTGGTAACGAAGCAGAGGGATGCTATTGGCTCCAAAGCCTTCTCGAGACCTCAAGTCAAACGCCGCTCGGAAGTCACCACGAGGAAAGATTTGTCGTCGATGCAAGGAAGTTCCGATTCGGAGCCCAGTCTCAAACGCGACGGCAGCACAAGAAACAGCCACCGCGCCTCCTTGAGCAACTTATGGCACAAAACTGTCTCCCGTATGCCGACCTTCAGCAAAAAAGATACCTTGAAAGGACAGGTTGCCAGGGCTGCCGACGCCTCCTCAAAAAGTCAATCCGATTCGCAGACCGACGAAGGTGAGCAGCATCAGACCGACAAGTCTGCAACTAGCAAGGACGATATCACGTTATCCCAGAGGAAGAAAGGTTCGATTGCAACACACGCACTCCGTTATTGCCTTCTCTTGAATGCTAATTTCTGTTTCTTTTAGGTTTATTCAAACGCCGAAGCCTCGGGAACATATTTGGTACCAATAGCCGAGAAACGCTCAAGAGACACACCAAGTCCGGGGAGGCTCTCACGGCCTTTGTAGGGTCTGTTGTGGGGACGCCAGTCCATAACAGGTTCCCGTCTGCTTCGCTCGTCGCTCCAGAGCTACCCAAGGTACGGGCGTCAGGAAACTTTGAAAAAGAGTGCGTGATTATCACTGGAGAGCCACCCACGGTGCAACCGCCGATTTGCCCATCAAAGCATACGCCCCAGTTACTGGAAATCCAGACGGGAGATGGCCAGCCCCCTTTCCTTGATCTAGGAGTTGCCCTTGAGGATCGAGTGCTCGATGTGTCGCTATCAGCATTGGCTTTGGCCCGGCGACCTAGGTCCTTAGATCTCAAGAAACTCTGGGTAGATGCTTCGGCAGCAGCAGATCTGAACTTCATTACATCGGCCTTGGACAAGGAAAACGGCAAGGAAAAGCAGACATCAAAGCCAGCCTCCACTGATCAGCATGTGAACTTGGATTCTGGAACATCGCAACCAGTCGAGGCGAAAAGATCCCTTGAGCTGGCCAACGAAGTCTTGAAGGCGGAATCTGGGAACATGGTTGCGAGCGTCAAGGCGAATGATCCAACCTCCGCCGTTGTCCAAGCTGAGATGTCCAACAGAATTCTACCTGCGGTGAATACTGAGGCGGCTGATCCACCCTCCACTGTCTGTCCGGTTGAGATGTCCAACAGAATTATTCCCGTGGTGAACACCGCGTTGAGCAGATTTCCTACGGAGTCCGACTCTCGAGATGGCATTGCCAGCACAGAGGCGACGGGCCCGAGAATTAAAGAGGTGACCGTTCGAGACGCCGCGTACACTCCAATTGAGAAGCCCGAGTTTGAACGATCAACGAGAGAGCACATATTGAGACCGTACGCTCAGATTTCCGGCAAGTATGGACCTTTCTATCCTACTGCAAGGATGCGGGCATCAATTAACCTGGCCTCGCAAGATGTTATAGGCATTGCCTCCCATGGAACAAAGGCTAATAATTTACGCAGGGAAGACTGGAAGAGCGATACTACTGTAGCTGGGCCGGAGAAAGACAATGTTCCAGACACGACACTTATTCGCAAACAATCGGAAGACGCACAACTCCAACAGTGCCTGTCTTTGCCACACAACGTGAACGAAGGTAAGGCCGAGACCAAGCATAAATACGGCGAATGGCTGTCGAGGAGCGCTATTTCAGTGACGGATAATTCGACAATGACTCGCGAAATTCATAGAGAGACGATGGACACAGGCCGGCTCGCTGTGATTCCGGATATGACCCTAGAACTCGAGTCTACGAAGGAAAACGGATACAGCATTATCTACCCGCCGGACTACGTTTCCAAACCTCGAGTTACTTCAATAAATGCTTTGGTCATGGAGCCTCTCCTCAATACAGCAACTGAACGCCGTCATGTCATTTCTGATGGCAAAGGCAGGACTATCACTAGCAATGACACCAGCAGTCTGCGCATTGATTCAGGTGGCTCAGCTCCGAAGGAGAAAGACAAAAGATACGACGTTCATCAAACACATTGACATTGCTTCTCTCGACCATTCCTACAATCAAATGCGGAAGTTGGCATTCCCTGGAGACCCGATCGGTGGCCCCGAGAGCCGGCTTGAGACATCGGTCTATTACGACGGTGTCAGCTGGGACGTTTGTGAGGACTACAGTGATGTGGATGAGGTTGAACTGTGAAAGGCGGTATAAGGTTTCCTGACTTTTTGGTTTTCGGTTTTTTCTTTGATCAGCCTTCGTTTATGGACATGGGAAAGGCACTGAGGGGTCTGGTAGGTAGTCTTTAAGCGCCGAATATGGTGGCTGTTTGTAAAGTAACGGTTAAACCACAAGAAAGTAATACCCTGGCTCACTGTTGGCGTTGAACATCCAAAAAGTGAAAGCCACACCCGTGAGTGCCGTGGGTGCAGTGGCTTGGGAGCTCCGACTACAGACGGTCGCCCCATGGGTGAGAGAGGTACGTGGCGAACCGTCCAATTGAGTGGAGACCCTTTGAACACGCTCCCACGGACCATGGCCCTCTACCTTAGTGTCAACCAACGCGCCCAGGTCAGCCTCAAGTTATTACGCCTGTCCCATGCTCGTCAGGGTCTATACAAGGTACTTCATCCATTCTCCGACTTGTCTCTGCCCGCCTTTCTCGAATCAAAGTGTCTTTGTAACAGCCACGAACCTATCGGCGACCCTAGCATTCTACCTAAGGTAGTCTCTTTCGCACTCTTTTCTCAACTCATCACCCTTTCCACCTTTGATCTCGCAGCCATACTTGTCTCGCAGACACGCCTACATTTTCGACCTTTGCGACAGCACACTTAACCTCATTCCATCCCTCTCCGACCGAAACTGTTTGACCAGGAGATCAATCAACATGGCGAAGGTAGCAACCGACTTTGAGAAGATCATCCAACAAGGTAGGGCCTTTTTTCTAAACTACGTAATGGGACGCCGCCCAGACGGAATGAATCGCTGACCGGGGGGACAATTTGCTTGGCTTCGTAGGACGAGAGAGGAAGAAGAACGAGGCGCTGGCACAGAAGATTTTCTCCAAGGATAGACGGCAGAGCGCGCCTTCGAAGCTCAAGCCCGGTGCGGGGCCGTCGCTGGCGAGTCGAGTCGGCATCACGAAAAAGGTACGCATTTACTCACCTTGTCGTTCGTTCCTAGCTTCTAGCAAACCGATGAGCGAGCATTCGCTAACGTTCTCTCCACCTGTACACAGCGGCGAACCGCATCCCTTGGTCCCAAGGCTCTTCCTGCTGGCAACATCGATGGCGACTGGACACATGACCTCCACGGAACGGTGAATGGCGGCGGTGGCGGTAGAGGACGAAATAACAACGGCCATAGCGCCGGCGCAGGCGGTCTCGCTTCGCGCATCTCTGCGCCGGGAGGAGGAGGACGATCCGCGCCCATCGCGGCGTCGAACGGCAACGGCAACAACAGCAACAGACGACGCGCCGGGCAGAAGGCGGCGAGAGTGGCTGCCGCGCTTGAGCGCTCTGGCGCCATGGCCGACGTGCAGATGACCTCCGTCGCGAACGTGGTGCCCACGGGACCGGCGATCAAGCAGGGCCTCTCTATCAGAGGGCTGGCGGGGCCGTTCGCGGTGATGGCGCAGAACTTTGCGCCGGGGACGACGGCGGCGGATATCGAGAGCGCGATGACGCCCGTCGGCGGGGAGATGCTGGATTGTCGGATCATCAAGACGACGCCTCTGATTCTGGCGGAGATGGTCTTCGCGACGAAGGAGGGCGGTGATGCGGTCATTTCTACGTTCAACAACCAGACGGTAAGGTGACCCCCTCATTTTTTCGAGCCTGCTATGCGCGAGACGACGGCAAGCACAGCTTGGAATTCATTTACTGATCAGAGGGTGACCATAGGCGGATGGTCGCATAATCAAAGTCTACCCCAAGCCCGGCGGCTACAAGGAGCCCAGCGCCCGCCCCGCGAACCCTCGTTCGACGTCGAGCAACTTTGTCGACGGCATGAACGGATTCCCCGAAGCCATGGAGGAGGATAACGGCGGCTTGTACAGCGATGACCTCGTCCGCAAGGCCGGCGGCAACAACAACAACAACAACAACAACAACAACAACAACAGCAGCAGCAGCAACAACAACAACCGCAGAGGACGTAACTTCAACCGTGGCGGCAGGCGATGAGGGAAGGGGCGAGATGACACGATGAGAAACATTTTTGGTCGGTGCTAGACGGCACATTATGGCGGAGGCACACTAAAAAATGACATCCTATTCACACTACAAATGCGGGGAGTTTCTACTTGGGCGTTAACTTTTCGAGAGCGGGCTTGGGGAAGGGTCGAAAATACCTAGGCGACTTCAAGTGTATGTTGGTTCTGCTCGTAAAGGGGGCGAGAATTTACAAATCGGGGGTAGATCTCTTCGCAAGGAGAGGAAAGGTTCCTTTTCGAGAGGACGCAGATCTCTCCATCTTTCAGGGAGGCGTGTGTACTAATAGATCAAAGAGCCTTTGCCATTTTTTTCTTCTTCAGTTGGGTTTCGTTCTCGTCTTCCTTTTTACAATCCAGGTTGTCTTCGAGAAAAAACGGCGTCAGATCATGGTTGGAAGCTCAGAAATGTGCATTGGGATTGGGGTATTGTTCTATGAATGGGACGAGGCTTGAGTCGTTCTATATCTTAGGTATGTTTACATGGCTCAGACATTGTTTTTACATGGTAGTGTACAGTTCATGACAATGATGTTTTACAAGTCCAACATCTCTTGTTCGTCCTTCTTTGCGGGCGTGGTATCCTGTATCCGTTGGTTCGGGTCGGTGAACTCGACCGCGAACCGGTTCAGCTTGCTCCGCTTCTCCTTGAGGCTGATGAGCGCCTCCTCGTCAGCAGCGAGCGCCTTCTCGTTGACAACCTTGTCGACGGCACTAATCATCTTGCGCGCAAGGTCAGCAAGGTCCTCGACGGCCTCGGCGCGTTTCCGGGCCACGTTCTTGCCCTGGGACTTGATCAAGGCCTCCTTGGCCGCGGAAAAGGGCTGCCATAGATTTTCCACGGCGGCGGCGAGTTGTTGGCCGTAGCCGCGCTTCGCGCCCTGGGTATCGCCCGCCTTGTCCATCTGGCGGAAGTTGAAGTGGCAGATGATGGCAGCCTTCATGTAGATGAGAAGGGCGCGCACGTCCACCAGGGTTTTCTGAGCGGCGCCGTGGGCGAGCATCGTGTTCAGGATGGACGTGGCGTCGGAGAATGCGTTTTGGCTCATATTGTTGTTGATGCAGGCGGAGAGGGCGCGGCGGTAGACGATAGGAGGGACAGGTTTGTCGGAAGGCATCTGCTGCACAGCCTTTGCGGCGTCTTTGCTTGAGCCACTGCGCTCGTAGAGACGGATCATTTGGTGGTAATTATCCGTGTCGGGGTTGACGCCGTAGTAATGGACAAAGAGATCCCAGTACTTTACGCCCAGCTTGGTCTGCTTTTGCTCGCGGACGATGGCGAGAACGAGGGATAGGGTGTTGGCCCGCGGCACGGCATATTTGATCTTTGGTGAGAGGACTGTGGCTTTGCGCTTTGCGCTACCGGTCGCACTGATGCCCTTCATCTCGTCGTTGATGCGGTGTGCATAGTCGCCTGTTGGCGTACGGTTGTAGTTCCGGACACTCATGGTCTCTTCGAGCATGGTGAGAATCTTGCCTCTGTCCTTACTGCCTCCGAGAAGCAGAACACGACCCATGGCGCACACAAGGTCCTCGTCGATCTCCAGCTTGCCGTTGCGCCAGTTGCGCATGACCTCCTCCCATATATGCTTGCATCGTGTGATCGTCTGCTCCACCGTATCAATGTGCTGCTGGAGAGACTGTCCTTTGCGACTGTCCTGGTTCTCGGCCTCTGCGCGTAGGGTGTTGATAATGGCCGTGTACGTGTAAGCAGTATTCTTGCGACCTGACTTGGCATCGGCCGAGTCGGCCAGCGTGAACATGTTTTCGACGTCGCCTGCGCGGCCGCAGCACTGGATCACGGCGTTGACATGTATCGAGTTAGGCTTGATCTTTGCGTCCTCCTTGAGCATCGTTTTGTACAGAGCCAGGGCCTTGGCACTGGCGGTCTTCGGTTCGCGAGACTTTGCACAGCCAGTGAAGATGATGGTAAAGGTCTGTTCGTTAGGCGACTGGCCGCGCTTCTTCATGTCGTTGAAGAGGCTAATGGCAAAGTTGACTCGTTTCAACTCCATGATCTGGTACTTGATGAGGTGGTTCCAGGCCACGACGAGGTCGGTATCCTTGCCACTGGCGCGCTGAACAAGGAGAAGGGCCTCATCGAAGCGACCCTTCTGGAGTGTGGCCTCGACGTGCTTGGCGATGTTGAAGGGGTTTTCCAGGTGCTCGAGATGCTTCGACACAGCCCAATCCAGCTTCTGTTTCCTTCTCTTTTCTGCAAATTCCTCGCTGCTGCCGTGGGTGTCCTTTTCTATTTCTTGTCCTTCTTTTAAGAACGCCCGGCCTGCGGCAGTTGTGGGCGTTGCCTTTCTATGAGCAAGTCGGCGTTGGTTGCCCGGCGGGCCATGTTGGAGGATGGGTAAAGTAGACGATAGTTCAGAGAAGGAGGCCTTTCCTGACAAGGGCTGAAGCGCCCGTGTAAGGCAAGCTTTGCAGGATAGCATTCTCGAGGGTCTTTTGCGGCGGAGGTTACCTAGGTAGTGTGGTGTGAGAGCTTTCCACAAAGCTCTCCTTCAATCATGAAGGCGAGATCAGGAAATTTTGCGACCAACTGCTCGAGCTCTCTTATCTTATCAGGGAGCTTGCTTCCATGCCTGTGCCTGCGTCCTTCGGGCGTCCTGCATGGCTTAGCGTGTCGCGCAGAATATTGACTTTGGTTGCGGGGCGGACCTCTTTACGATTGCCCCACATGTGCTGTGTTTAGCGCACACTTGACCAATTGGCCTGACGGCAATTAAGCAAGAACGCGTCGCCAAACACGAACGCGACTTTCATCTCGCGCCACCCCTGGCTGAACGCCCAAATTATAGTGCACTTGTATCCCGTGCTTTATGTTAACCCACCCACAACAGGCATACTTTGTTCCTCGATACAAACACAGCTTGACACGCCAAATCTTTCAGTACCTATCGCCGGTGCCGAATAATTCCTCTCTTTCTACGATGAATTGAGTGTCCATTCGAGAACTTGAACTTTCCCCCGAATACTCGACACACCAGCCCTGCCCACCATGCCCAAGGTTGACAGACGCTCAAAGCTGGCCGAGCTTCGGGCTCTGCGAGCGTCCGGCAAGAGAGCCAACTACGAGGTCGAGGAGGTCGACGAGCTTTACGAAGAGGTTGACGAGAACCAATACAAGAAGATCATCCGAGACCGTCTGGATCAAGACGATTTCGTTGTCGACGACAATGGCGAGGGATATGCCGACGATGGTCGGGAGGAGTGGGATCGCCAGCCCCAATACTACTCGGAGAGCGATGAGGATATGCCAGTGAAGGGCCGCGGCAGGCCAAGCAAAGCCTGTAAGAAGACTATCCAATCCATGTGTTTGCGAGATCTATCACACTGACAATCAGTAGCAAAAAAACAGCGCGAAGAAGATGCGGCCAAGCGAGATGCCAACGACAGAGACATTAGCGAATACTTCACAAAGGGTACTAACAAGACACAAGCCAAGCCAAAGGTTCGTTATGTGCGCTCAAAACAAGAGAAGCGTTGTACTGACAACAGCCATAGGTCGCCAAAACGAAAGAAGACGACGATTTCCTTGCCGATCTTCTGGGAGAGGTGGACGCCAACATTCCCGCTCCTGCGTCCCGGTCAGCCAAACGTAACAGATCCTCCGAGCGTCGCCGAGCCCGTGTGCTTTCTCCCGCCCCCGAGACCAGAACGCGCCTTACCAAGAGAACAAAGACTGTAGATGACAGACTATCATCTCCCACCTTCGACAACTCAGCAGTCGACGATGGCTATTTGCCCCCTATGGGCGACGACAGAGATGATAGCCCCGCTCCGATCACTATGGACGATATTCCCATGTCCGAAGATCCCGCGCCATCATCACCCGCCGCTAAAGTAGCCCAGCGCAAGGCAATGGTCAAGCCGGAGCCCCTAGAGGATGAGGACGATGATATGATGGAGGTTGCTCACGCTGGTGCGGTCACTGCTGCTAGTGTCAACATCACAGGGTCAAGACCACCGAAGAAGCTTGTCAAGCCCGATCCCTACCCTACACCTTTGAGCTCTTCCCCGGTCAAGCCTGCCGCCCCATCAGTCGACTCGTCAGCATGGAACAACATTACCGAACAGCTCAATGTTGTCTCAAGCTCTCCTGCGGAGGCTAGAACCGTTGGCAAGATAGACTATAAGGATGCTATTGAGGAGGACGGCAGTCTCAACATGTTCTGGACTGACTACACCGAGGTCAATGGCAGTCTCTGCCTCTTTGGCAAGGTCTTGAACAAGAAGACTGGCTTGTATGTCAGTTGCTTCGTCAAGGTCGACAACATTCTCCGCAAGCTCTTTTTCCTTCCCCGCGAGACCAAAGTCGAGGGCGGAGAAGAGACAGGCGAGGAAGTCGAGATGATGGACGTCTACTCTGAGATTGACGCTCTCATGACCAAGATGAACGTTGGCATGTTCAAGATCAAGCCATGCAAAAGAAAGTACGCATTCGAGCTTCCAGGCATTCCCAAAGAGGCTCAGTACTTGAAGTGTCTCTATCCCTATACGAAGCCTGTCATTGACAGCACGACTACTGGAGATACATTCTCGCGTGTCTTCGGCACAAACACGGCGCTATTCGAGCAATTTGTGCTGTGGAAGAACATCATGGGCCCCTGCTGGCTGAAGATTACCGATGCCGACTTTGGTGCCCTCAAGAACGCTTCCCACTGCAAGCTCGAAGTGCTCGTCGAGCACCCCAACATGGTCTCGACGCTCAGCGACTCTGACAACCTCGATACACCTCCCCTGACCTTGATGAGTATCGCGTTGCGCACTGCCTTCAACCCCAAGGCCAATAAGCAAGAGATTCTCGCAATCAGCGCTCGCATCTACGAGAAAGCCTCCTTGGCTGATCCAACTCCGGCCGAGAAGCTTCCCTGCCGGACTTTCACCCTCATTCGTCCTCATGGGACAGCATTCCCCCTCGGATTCGAAAATATGGCAAAGGATAGGAAGAGAGGCCTCATC